CCGCTTCTGCTCCCAGGATGAGGCATTCCACTCCCGTACATCTCAGATGTCCTCGTTTTTCAAGGACCGCAACATCCCCCCCCTCAGAGGTCGAGAACGCCCTCAACCGTGTCTCCCACATTTCCCACAACTCATCCCTCACACCCCGTCCCCACAATAACGACCAAAAAAGAATCCCACGTACCACCCCACCAACCTCCGGATCCAGTGCATCATCCTCCGACACTTCCGCCATCTGCAATCCGACCCCACCACCAAAGACATCTTTCCCTCCCCACCCTTATCTGCTTTCCGGAGGGACCAGTCTCTCCGTGACTCCCTTGTCCGCTCCACACTCCCCTCCAGCCCCACCACACCCGGCACTTTTCCCTGCAACTGCAGGAAGTGCTACACCTGCCCCCATACCTCCTCCCTCACCCCCATCCCAGGCCCCAAGAAGACTTTCCACATCAAGCAGATGTTCACCTGCACATCTGCCAATGTGGTATACTGCATCCACTGTACCCGTTGTGGCCTCCTCTACATCGGGGAATCCAAGCGGAGGCTCGGGGACCGCTTTGCAGAACACCTACGCTCGGTTCGCAATAAACAACTGCACCTTCCAGTCGCGAACCATTTCAACTCCCCCTCCCATTCCTCAGATGACATGTCCATCCTGGGCCTACTGCAGTGCCACAACGATGCCACCCGAAGGTTGCAGGAACAGCAACTCATATTCCACTTGGGAACCCCGCAGCCCAATGGTATCAATGTGGATTTTACAAGCTTCAAAATCTCCCCTCCCCCTACCACATCCCAAAACCAGCCCAGCTCGTCCCCACCTCCCTAACCTGTCCTTCCTCCCACCTATCCCCTCCTCCCACCTCAAGCCGCACCCCCATCTCCTACCTACTAACCTCATCCGGCCCCCTTGACCTGTCCATCCTCCCTGGACTGACCTATCCCCTTCCTAACTCCCCACCTACACTCACCTTTACTGGCTCCATCCCCGCCTCTTCGACCTGTCTGTTTCCTCTCCACCTATCTTCTCCTCTATCCATCTTCTATCCGCCTCCCCCTCTCTCCCTATTTATTTCAGAACCCCCTTCCCCTCCCCCATTTCTGAAGAAGGGTCTAGGCCGGAAACGTCAGCCTTTCTGCTCCTGTGATGCTGCTTGGCCTGCTGTGTTCATCCAGCTCTGCACCTTGTTGTCTCAAAACCCAATGATGTCTGTCATGCAACTCGGATCTTGTGTTGAGCCACTTAAATTGACAAAGCCTTTTGAAGAAGGGTCTTTGGACTCAAAACATTGACTCTGCTTTCTCTCAACAGATGCTACCAGATCTCCTGAGTTCCTCCAGCTATTTCTGGTTTTGTTTCAGATTTCCAGCATCCGCAGTTCATTGTTTTATTTCAGTTAGCAAAGTGTTTTTGATGTTCTTCATCAAAAGTCATTTTGTTTTGTAACAGCTAATTGTAAGGTCATTAAGTGTTTCAGTGGTTTCCTTTGACCTGAACTCGATGGTGTGGACATCTGGTCTCTGGTTCGAAAACAGAAATTGCAGGAAAAAGTCAACAGGCCTGGCAGCATCCGTGGGAAGAAAGCAGTGATAATGTTTCAAGTCTGGTTACTCTTCATCAGAACTCTTCATCTGTTTCATATGTGTTGGCATGGCTGGAATGTTTGTACAATGTAAGGAGTGTGACATATCAGGATGATGATGTAAGCTTGAATACACTGATTACTCATGATTCTAACTTTCCAAAGGTTGTGGTCAGCTAGCATCATATGATCAGGTGTAGCCATGTTGTCACTCCAGCAAAATGTCTATTTACCAAAAATATAAACAACATAATTATGTTTAAAGAAAAATTTTGTTCTTTTTTTTTCCCCACTTTCTGCACATTACATCATTAATACTAGATAGTACTGGAATATAACTGCAAAGATATTTTGAAGAAAATAAGCAACATTTTAGGAATGAAATAAAGAAAGAAACATGATATTGAAATTTCCCACTCAAATTGCAGAAATATTGTTAGGATTCTGTCCTGTAATTTGAAAATGTTAATTTGTTATTTGTTTTAACCCAAAAGAATTTGCGTGGGTCATCTTTAAATTAGACATCACAAATAGGATTTTGAAAACACACAACCTATTTTTAAAAAGGAAAAGAAAATAAAAAATAATTAGAAACCACTTTGGTTACAGGCAGAATAGTAGTATAAGTAATTCAATTCACCTCTCCTATTTGTCAGTGACAATGGCAAAAATTTCAATCTTTTAATGACAATGTGTCCTTTCTTAAAATGCACCTTCATCTGCAATTCAACTTGCCATTATAGATTACCATCTTTTCAAGTAAATGGAATTGTGTATTAGCAACAGAGATTTATTCCTATAAGTATCAACTAGGCATGAAACAAGGCTGTGATCCTAGGCTGCAATTAGTAGAATAATAATGAAGTGAACTAGGTTATAACATTGATGGATAAATAGTGAAGCAGTGGCAGATATTTAAGAAGATAGTTCAGAACACTCGGAATAAGTACATCTCTACTATGGAGAAAAATTCCTAAGGAAGAACCCACCATCCATGGTTAAATAAAAAAGTTAAGGACAGTATCAAACTTAGGGAAAAAATACAATTGCATAACAATGACAGCAGGATAGATGATTGGTCAAAATGTACAGGACCACAGAGAATGACTAAAGGCTTAATCAGGAGAAAATAATTAGAGGATGACAGGAAGCTAGCTACAATTTTAAAATGGATAGCAAGAGTTTCTATGGGTGTCTAAAATAGAAAAGATTAAATTAAGTGAGTGTTAATCATTTATACAGAGAGGGAATGGGAAGTTAATTGTAGATAATCTAATGATGGATGAAATGAGCAAATAACTTGAATTCTGTCTTCACTGTAGAAAGTATAAAAAAATCCAACAATTATTGCAAATCAGGAGGCGAAATGAAGAGAGGAACTTGGTGACATTACAGTTGGCAGGTACTGATGAAGCTTCAGACAGACAAGTCTCTGGGTCTTACAATAGGTGTCTAGTGAGGTAATTGATGCATTGCTGTTAAATTTCCAAAATTTGTCAAATGCTAGAAATGTCCCATCAGTTTGTAAGGTAGCAAATATAAACCCTCTCGTCAAGAAAGTAGAGAGGCAAATTATAGCCAGTTAGCTGGAGGTCTTTGTCATGGGAAAGGTGTTAGAACTGATTATTGAGATTATCACTTGTAAAAATGCAAAATAATCAGGAAGAGTCAGCATGACTCTGTGAAAGGGAAGTTATGTTTAACAAACTTATTGGAGTTCTTTGAAGAGTAGTGTGCACTGTGGATAAAGGGTAGTACGTGGATGTACTGTACTTAGATTTTCAGAAGGCACTTAACAAGGTGCCACATCAAGTTTTATTGCATAAAATAGAAGCACATGGTGTAGGGGTAACATACAAGTATGGATAGAAGATTGGCTGACTGGCAGTGTACCAAGAGTTTTTCTGGTGAGCAGAACATGATGAGTGGTGTCCTGCAGGGGTTTGAGGGGGGGCCTCTATTTTACAATTTGTGTCAATGATATAGATAAGGGGAGCAAACATTTGATGCCTAAATGTGCAGATGACACAAAGATGTGAAGGAAGTATGTTGTGAAGAGGCCTTGGAGAGGATGTAGACTGATTATAGGTAAGTTGAGTAAGTATACAAAATCTGGCCAGTGGAGTATAATGTGGAAAATGCGAAATTGTTCATTTTGCAGGAAGAATAAAAAAGCAGAACAATGTCTAAATGTGAATGACCACAGAATTCTGAGGTTCCACTGTACAGATCAAAAAATATTATTATTCATATACGGCACATGATTAAGAAGGCAAATGGAATGCTATACCTTGTTACAAGAGGAAGTGAAGATAAACATGACATGTGCAGTTTTAATCTCCTTATTTAATGGGCTTGTTTTCATTGTAATTTAGAAGAGAGAGAGAGGTAACTTGATCAAAGTATACGAGATCCTGAATGGTCTTGGCACAGTGGATGTAGAAATTATGTTTCCTCTTGTGAATCCATAAGTAGAAGACATTATTTAAAAACCAGGGATCATCCTTTTAAGATGCAGTTTAAAAGAAATTGTTTTCTAGGATTCTGAGACTATGGAACTCACTGATTAAGAAGGTGGTGGAGCTGAGATCACAATGTGTTTTTTAAGGTGAAGGTAGATTTTTGTTAGGTAAGGTAATCAAAGATTATGGTGATAGACGGACATGTGGAAATTAAAACCCAAATAGATCATTCATGATCTTTTTGAATGGCAGAGCAGTTTCAAGAGGCAGAATAGGCTATTTCTGTTCCTCATTCATATGTATAAATGTTCTCTATGGTAGCAGCATATTGGATGTATGTGGACGGAATAGGCATGCACCTGAAACTTAGCCCTTTGAAAGAACTTTCTTGGCAACAGCCATTCTACTCCTCAACAACCAAGATGAAATGAGCTCTACATACAGGTTTGCTTACCAATAGAAATGAGACCCACTTGGCTTGAGCCCTGATACAAGTAGGACAGCAGTACAACTAATATTAGCCTCATTAAAAAGAGGCCAACTAGACAAGAATTATAATTTTTTGAGGCTACTTAAAAAAGAGCTTTCATGGGCTGTTTTATTATCTCCTATCCCTTTTTCATGGGCCAAAAGACAAAGGCATCCATCAAGCACTTGTAAGCAACACAATCCACCTGACTTTGGACACCCAGTACAAAAGCAGAGGTCAACAGTCTATTGCTATTTTTCCAGTGGAGCCAGAAATGGCAATGTTTGATCTCCACAATCCAATTTGAAACAGCAGTGAACAATTGCTAAGACCTTCGATTGTTATGGGATTATTGCTAAACAAGTACTGAAGGATAAGTTCTTTGAATTGCTTTATCTTTGAATATTTTCTGAAGGACGTTTACATAAAATATGTCTGAAACTTCGCTAATTATAACAGCTAACTTTGTTGTAATTTTTTTTGTAGACTTCAGAACATCTTAATAGCCCTATCTTACAAGAGGAATCAAAAAGGTGTGCTTTATTATCCAATAGTCATGCTTATCATTCCACAGGAAGGTGGTACACAAGAACTTGTAATACGAACCATTATGGTTTTGTTTGTCAAAAGTACCCAGGTAAGATTCTTCAGAGATTCATCACAGTTACATTTTAATGAACAAATGACTGCACATTTAGCCTTGAGGCATGTAGTAAATGCCAGCCTTTACTTCAATATTTGGAAATTCAAGTCCTAACAAAGTTCATGTTAAACACACAGTCATAAAATTGATGAGCTATTGTCTAATAGTCTAATTCCTGGACATAAAAAGATATAAATTATTCCTTGATTAATAAATATGTTTATAGAAGAACGTGGCAGTCTGTTCTGGCAGTGATTCATAGATGCTTTCACAGCTCACCTTCAATATGTGTAAATTTCATGTTAAAAACGGTATGTTTTTCTTTGAAAAGATTCCACCAAGGAGTTACAAGCCAGATTTAAAAAAAAAATAGGTGATACCAAATTAATTAATTATTTTATCCTTGCATTCAAAAATACGGAAAGAAAATGATCTGGAAGTACTGTCCTGAGGCTAAAGTAGTTGCAAAAGAAAAAATGAATAAGAACCAAATAAAATCCAATGCAGTAGAAACATTGAGGCTGTTTGGACTTTTGTCTCCCAGCTCATTATAGTCTTGCCTTTGACAAAGGGATTTCAGGTTCAATGCCAGAGACTAGGAATATAATACACAGGCAGACACTCAAGTGTGTACCGGGGGTGCGCTACAGTGTCAATGGTGCTAGCCTTCAAATGAATTGTGGCCCCATCTTATTTTTCTGCTGCATATAAAAAAAATTCCAGTATTCTGAGGTAGAGCAGGGGAGCTCTTCTGATGCTTTCAAAAACAGTTTCTCCATCAAGATTAGCCACTTTTAAAAATAAAAATGATAAGTACATTATAGGGCCTTTATTGCATTCCTTGAAATGTATGTCATGTGCAAATTGGCTGCAGTATTTCTCATTAAGAAGGAGAATACATTTTAATGCATTTTTCCTGTAAAATACTTTTGGAGGAGTAGAGTTTTTGAAAGGCACTATACAAATACAAGCACTTTTTTCGATAGCTAAAGATAAGATTGTACAGAAATGGACAACTTGAAAATAAAATCCAGTAAGGTGTCTTGTTTTAAATAGATCAGAAGTGGAGTTTTCCTGATCTAGCAATCTAAGATTAATAGTTTTCTCTGAGAAGAGAGAGAGAACATTTTTACTGATCTATCTCAGTCTTTACTGAAATATGTAAAATACTGAACAAATCACATAGCATATGCCATAATCACAAATTTGATCTGGGCCCGATGAGGAATGGTGCCGTTACTTGCCTCTAATTGAAGAGTTTTGAAGTTCTTGAAAATGTCTTCACTGCTGGGGAGGTTTGTCACCTGTAGGAGTTTCTGAGCATATAAGAATTTTGGAGTGAGGCAGTCAATTCAACATGTCTAGATGAAAGTTCCTTTTTGATGCAGCCTTTGCCGTATTTAGGATGACTGCATGAGCACACTTACAATCTTAATAACTGGGCTTTTTAAAAAAAATTATTTGGTATCCAACATCTGTGATCTGTTTAAGCACTGCCAGTGTTCATCTTATAACATTTTCCTTTCTGAGATCTTTGATAGGAAGCTTTGATACTGGTGGAGTCCAGGAAGTTCTTAGATGGAGGATTGTTCTTTGGCTTCTGTATGCTCTGTGAATTTTTTTTTTGAAAAAGCTTGCATTTGTATCTTGCTTTACCAAATATCTCAAAACATTTCACTGCCAAAGTAGTACTTTTGAAGTGTGGAAAACACAATAACCAAATTGCACACAGCAGAGTCTCTCAAGCTACAACGTGATGATGACCAGATGATCTGTTTTAATGATGTTTATTGAAAAATATATAGTGGACAGGATCCCAATGGTAATTCCCCTGCTCATCTTGAGAAGTGTCATGGAATATTTTACATCCACCTGACCAGGTAGATGGAGCCTCTTTTCATTAAAAATGGCACCTTCAAGAGTACAAGAATCTCGTGATATAATACTGGAGTGTCAGCCTTGACTTTTGTGTTCAGGTCCTGGAGTGGAACTTGAAGTTTGAACTTGGTGATTCAGAGGCAGGAGTGAGTGACAGTCCTTTCCATGTCCAATTGTATTATACTGTCAGAGAGCTCCGTTAATGCTGTAATACCTCTACTGATGCGATAATGTTTAACATCAGTACCAGTCATGCAGAATATCTTTCTAACTATTCTTCCAATGCAGACATTCGCTACTTGCCTGGAATCACAGTTGTAAGTTCCGCCATGTTTGTTTATTTTCTCTGTAGATAAATCTATCCACCATATCAATGCATCATCTCTCTATCCAATACTTGATACTTTTGCATATGGAAACTACACATACAAACTGATTAAGAAGAATGTAACGTGGTATGAAGCATTAAATGAATGCCGACAAAGAGGTACTGAACTGGTCAGCATCACTGATCAATACCACCAAGCTTTTCTCACAGTCGTTGTGAATAGGCTGTCACACCCGCATTGGATAGGACTGTCCAGCCCAGATGTATGTCCAAATCCTTACTACTGTTAATTATTTAAACTTTATTGAGTGATGTTGTGTTTCGAAAGTGAGGAGATGCATGGTATTATACTAATGTTCTTGTTATTCATACTTCTCATTGTTCACAGGATGGAAAAAGCTTTATTTGGTCAGATGGTAGTAGCAATATATTCAGTCATTGGGCGGAGGAAGATCCTCACTCATCTCAGGATTGTGGGTACATGGATATAAATGGCTACTGGAAGACCGCTAACTGTGAAACTCAACTGCCAGGAGCTTTCTGCCAAGTTTTACAAAGTAAGAATTCAGCTTCAAAGCCCTTCAATTCCAAGACCTAGATTTTGTGAAGACAATAATAGTGAGGATGTCAGGGTCCATGAATTATAAGGGTCTTAATCAAAATGCAGTTCCGGCTTCTGTAATAAGTGTGGTTTGAGAAGGCAGCTCACCTCCACCTTCTCCGGGGTGTCTAGGAATAGGCAATAAATGTTGACCCATCAAATGATGTCAACCTCCGCCAAGTGAACAAAAAAAAAACTGAGAAATCCAGAAGTTAATGTTGGAAATGACACACTGCTGTGCTGGGTGGGCTATTATGATCCTCGCTGATGGGTTCAGCATTATAAAATCCGTTGGAGTTCAGGACTTGCGGGCGGTGATGGAGGTGAAGTGTATGAAGAAGAGCTAGCTCAATACTGATAATGTTGGTGGACTCTTCCATCATTCAATTCAAGTATTAACTGCCTCTGACAAACATGCCAGCTGTTCCTGAGCTTTTCTGTGCAATTTGACCATCGTTAATGGGTAAGACTATCTAGAATGGGATCATGCTCTGGGGGCTGAGCAGGTGCCCGGTCTCTTGCAGTTGAAGAACAAAAAAGAGTACAACACAGGAACAGGCCCTTCAGCCCACCAAGCCAGCAGTATAAGATAACTAAAAATCTCCTGCCTCTAAATGGTCTGTATCCCTTTATTCCCTGCCTATTCGTGTATCTGTCAAGATGCCTCTTAAACATTGCTATTATATCTCTTTTTACCACCTCCAGGCACTTACCATCCTCTGTTTTCAAAAGCTTGCCTCTCACATCTCCTTTAAACTTCCCCCTTTTACCTTAAACCTATGCCCGTTTAGTAATTGACATTTCCACCCTGGACAAAAGGCATCAACTATCCATTATGTCTATGCTGTCATAATTTAGTAAACTTTTATCAGGTCTCCCCTCTCAGCCTCCGAATTTCAAGTGAAAACAAACCAGGTTTGTCCAGTCTCTCCTCAACTAATACATTCCCAAACCAGGCAACATCCTGGTAAACCTTCCCTGAACTATTTCCAAATCCTCCACATCCTTTTAGTACTGTGGTGACCAGAAATGTACGTAATATTCCAAATGTGCAACATGACTTGCCAATTTCCATACATTGCCCCACCAATGAAGGCATGCAAGCCATACGCTTTCTTGACCACCTTATCCACTTGTGTTGCCACTTTCAAGGAACTACAGACCTGTATGAGTAGATCTCTCCATATGTTAATGAATCTAAGGGTTCTGCCATTTACTGTATACTGCTCTCCTACATTAGACCCTCCAAAATACATCACCTTGCATATGTTCAAATTAAACTCCATCTGCCATTTCCCTACCGAAGTCTCAAGCCTATCTATATCCTGCTGTATCGTCTGGCTATCCACCTCACTATCCACACCTACCTCCTACCACCCAACCCTCAAAGTTTGTGTCATCCTCAAACTTATTCAGCAAACCACCTATATTCTGTTCCAAATCATTTACATATGTTACAAACAATAGTGGTCCCAGCATTTGTCCCTCCAGAACATCACTCGTCAGACATCTCCAATCAGAAAAACACCCTTCCACTACTTTCTGCCTTTGGCTAAGCCAGTTCTGTATCCATTTTACTAGCTCACTGTGGATCCCAGGTGACTTCACCTCTTTTATCAGTCTGTCAGGAGAGACATTGTCAAAGGCCTTGCTAAAGTCCAAGTAGACAACATCAACCACCCCACCCTCATCAATCACCTTCGTCACAGTCTCAAAAACCTCAATCAAGTTTGTGAGAGACAATCTCACCCACACAAAGCCATGCTGTCTGTTGCTAATAAGTCCATATTTTTCTAAACACGAGTAAATCCTGTCCCCAGTTAATTTTCTTGCCACCGATATAAGGCTCACCAGCCTGTAATTTCCCAGATAATCCCAGTTGCCGTTCTTGAACAAAGGAACAACTTTGGTTGATCGCCAGTACTCTATGACCCCTCCTGTGACTAAAAAGGATGCAAAATTTCATACAAGGCCCCACCAATTTCCTCACCCACCTCATATAGAGTCATAGAGTCATACAGCATGGAAACAGCTCATTTGGTTCAACTAGTCCATGTTGACCATGTTCCCAAACTATACTAGTTCCACTTCACTGCATTTGGACCATATCCTCCAAACCTTTTCTATTCATGTACTTATCCGAATGTCTTTTAAATATTGTAACTGTACCTGTAATCATCACTTCCTCTGTATTAATCCAAGCTCTACCTTCATCTGCCTTACCTGTCATATGCTTCGTGTTAATACAAATATCCTTCAGACCACCAGTCCTGCTGGGATCAGTAACCACTCCCTGTCTGTTCTTCCTCTTAGCCTTACTGGCCTTAGTCTCTAACTTCTCAGTCATTTCACATGCTGATGCTCTGTTTTGGCGTTCCACCACTCCCCCACCTGCCCAAAAAACACACAGGCACACACACGTGGCGCAACATACGCACAGTTTAAACTCTCCCAGGTGCCACAAGCAAATCCCCCTGCCAAGATACTGGTTCCCCTCCAGTTTAAGTGCAACTTGTCCTTCTTGTACAAGATTCACCTGCCCACCTGCCCTGGAAGACAGACCAATGATCCATGTATCTGAAGCTCTCCCTCCTGTACCAGCTCTCCAGCCATGTATTTAACTGTATTATCTTCCTATTCCTGGCCTCACTGGCACATGTCACCGGGAGTAATCCCGCAATGCCACCCCTAGAGGTCCTGCTATTCAAGTTACTGCCTAATTCCCTGAACTCTCTTTGCACTCATCATTTTTCCTGCCTATGTCATTAGTACCAATGTACTATGACCTCTGGTTGCTTGTACTACCTTTTGAGCATGTCCCATGCCCGCTCTGAGTTTGTCGAGTATCAGAACTAGGGGTGTTGCTCCCTTATCAGCTGTGGGAATGTGTCAGTGATGTACTTTCGAGTCTAATCTGGAAAGAGTAACTCCATCAAGGTGAATGTCTCTGAGCTGGGGGACAGTGTGCATGAAAGCCTTGCCAGTATATCCTTGCTTGGAGGTGGAGGTTGAGCTGAGGGTCTCTTCTTGGAGGCAATTCACTGGGTGCTGCTAGTGCCCACATAAGAGAGGATAAGGAATTAATTGTGTAAAGGTGATAAACGTATGTGCAGATCAAGGATGGGTGGCAATCAAAAGCACAATGAAGCTTAATGGCTTAGTTTCCCAGGAAGGTCTTTGTCGACACATGAGTGGTCACAGTCTTCTTTGACCAACCCTCGAGCCAGTCTTTGCCCTCTGGGCCTAGTTAGAAAATATTTTTTCCCATAATAGAAAAATGAGGGATTAATGTGATGGAGAACAATTAGTGGTGGTTAGGTGTTCACAGTGAGTAAATAGGAAGCTCAAGGTCATCAAGAGTTAGTGGTAAGGGAATATGAATTGGGTGAGAGCAATTGAGTGGACATGCCCCATGCAATAATGAGAGTTGTAGTTCATGAACCTTGTTTAGTCACAGGGCTCAAGTAAACAGTAGCCTTGCAAGTGTAAGATAACAGAGAGAATAAGGTGGCACTTAGCCTTGTAGTGCGCAGAAGATTATTGACCTTCTTCCTGCACTGCTGCGCATTCTTTATTAATCTGGAACAGGGCCACCTTTGCCAGTCAGCAGGAAACGTTCTCCACCACCCCATCCACCAGCATCTCGAGGTCTCAGCCTGCAAAACAGGGAGCTTTCTTGCCTTTCTGGTCCACTTCCTAGGGGATTAGACTGGTACAGCAGTGAGTGCCAATTCCTGACTTATAAACCCTGTTAATACCATCTACAAGGCACAAGTCAGGAGTACGATAGAATATTCCTGACTTGCTTGGATGAGTGCAGCCCCAAAAACACTCAAGAACCTTGATACCTTCTAGAACAAAGCAGCCTCAATCCATCTATCAACCAAAATATTCACTCATTCCACCCCCAGTGTATAGTGGCACTGGTATGTTCTATCAATTACTCAAAGGCTTTCCTACCAGCAGCTTCTAGTGCCACAACCTCTACTGCCTAGAAGGACAAAGAGAAGCAGATACATGGAAACACTACCACCTATGAACTTCCCTTCAAACCACATATTGTCTCAATTTAGAATTATATCAGTGTTGTTCCAGTGTAACTGGCTCAAGATTCTGGCACTGTCTTCCTAACAGCACTGTGAGAGCATACCTACTCCAATGGACTGCCCTGGTTCAAAAAGGCAGCTCAACACTTGCCTAACTAACTCTAAACCTAATCTCCTCAAGGGAAGTTACAGATCAGCAGTAAAGGCTGCCCTTGCTAGCCATGCCCACATACAAGAACAGATTTTTATTTTAGAAAAGTCTAAGGGCATTTTAAGGCCCATGCCTTAATTAAAATAATACCCGTGAGCAATGGTGCCAAATGGTTCAGGACTGGTACACAACATTGTATGGCTACAGAAAAATAAGAGGGGAAGCCCAAGGCAGGAGAACACTGCTTCACCTCCTGCCCTGTTCCCACCAGCTTCCCTGACTCTTGCCCCCACGCCCATCAATCACCCCCACCAGACCACAAAGCATACTTATTTTTTTTCAAGCTGAGTCATAGTAAAAGTGGTTAAATCATGTGGGTCACACTTCACTCACTTATGTTCTCAAATTGCAAACTATACAATGTTTAAAAACTCTTTGTATATTAAAAGGAGTTTGGTTGCCTACTGACAGGCATCCAGTTGGTCTGGATTAATATCAGCTCCCTGGTGTGGAAGAGAAGTCAGTTCATTAAATATTTCTAATTAATCTACTGTTTACAGCTGCAACCTCAAGTTCCCCAGCTTACAAAGTGAAGTGCCCGAATGCATCTAAAGAACTACCCTGGATTCCATTTCGAGGCAATTGTTATCTCTTCGACTTGGTTTTATACAATTCTTCAAGCTTAACAATGGAAAAAGCTAAAGAGGTTTGTGGAAACTTGGGTAAGTCACTTCACCCTGTAAAACCTAGTATAAAATCGAAAGTACTGTGCATGTTAATGGAAATATGGGCTCACCCAGAACTGCAGTTTATGTACCTTGTTTCTGAGCGTTGGGCCGTGGAATTCTACTAAATAGGTGTAGGCTTTGGGCAATGTGCTGAGGTGAGTTGATACTGCTCTCTACAATATGGCTGACAAGTCGACTCTCTCACCGTGACTGCCTGTTGGAAGGATTTCCAGGTTGACAATCTGTCTGTTTGGCCATGTTACACTTCATGAACAACGTGTCCTGACTTGAGACTCAAGCCCAAAGTTTCCAAGCCAGAGATAAACATTACCATTGTGTCACAAGGGCTCCTGCCAGCTTATGTAATATGCTTTACAATACTTTAAAGGTAATAATAAATTCACAAGTGCTCAAATCATTCCAACAGTTCTAAATTATAAATGTAGTTTTGATGCACTTTTTTCAGTTGTAAGATATTTATGACAATAAACTTATCTGATCCAAATAATATTATTAGTCAATCTGCTCTTTAACCTTATCATTTTTCAGATGTTTCCATGCTCAGGAAGTACAATGTTAAAGATTCTATAACTAGCTCAATGCGTTCCTTTGTATTAGTGATCTACAAATAAAAGTTATTTATTTAATACATTTATCCTCCAACAAACATCATTCATCTGTCACAATCAAGTTTGTATATTTGTTTTAGTCATCCCTGACTGAATCTATCTTGGGCATTAAGTTTGCAATGCGGCTTAATTACTTGAATTGGTTCAACATATTTATATTTATGCACCATGTGAGAAACTAGAAGATATTAAATTGTTTGGACACTTTCTGGATTAAACAGGGCTTTAAAAGGAATGAGGTGAACAGTTTAAATATGGGCTATTATCTGATTAAAGAAAGTCATGATTTTGGCAAAAGAGCCAAACAAAGCTTTTGAAGCGTTAAAATGGGGCTCATAGAAACATAGAAAATTAGAACAGGGGTAAGCCATTCAGCCCTTTGAGCCTGACTTTGCCATTCAACATGATCATCCAACTCAGTATGAAGGTCTCAACTTCTCAACCTCACTCCTCAACTGAGGCATGATGGCTGTCAGGGTGGCTCTCAGGTTAAACTCACCATCAGTCATCTCTCTTTAAGGAGAGAGAAGCCCTATAGTTCTCTGGGATTCTGCAGCTTTATGTTCAAGATAATCAGACAGAGTCAACGTTGTTTTTGTGAAAGAAAAATCATGTTTGAGCAATCTATTAGAGTTCTTTGAGGAGGTAACTGGTCCTATGGATAAAGGGGTGGTGGATGTACTGTATTTAGTTTTCCAGAAGGTATTGCCACATCAAAGGTTATTGCAGAAAATAAAAACATAGGGTTGCTGTATTGGCAAGGATAGAAGACTTGCCGACCAACAGCAAAGAGATAGTAAGCATGAATAGGTCTTCTACAGGTTGGCAAGATATAACAAGTGGTGTGCCTCAGAGATCAAACGACTCCAAGCCAGTTATAAGATGTGGCAGCTTTGTACAGATCATCAGACAATTTTTTTTCTTATCACTTAAGTGCTCCAATCGATGGTCCTGGCAAGAGGACTTTGCAGACAATCTTGAAATTGTTCTGAATCATAGTCACACAGCATTAACTTCAGCCAAGACAAAGGCTAGATCACCTTAATTCACAATTTGACTGCTATTAGCTGGATAGCGGACCCTAAAGTCATTCACCATGTTTTCTAAGTTGCAAAATGTCATACTCCAGTATTGACAGAAAATGTTCATACAAATCGTGCTAGCCTGCAACCTAATTGTACTGCAGACATAATCAATAGGGTAATTAAACATATACGGACAGTCTGAATGCCTGTTCTAACAGGCATATCCTGTTATTCCTCCCAAAGAATAGCAGCAGTAACCAGCGTACAAGGCTTAGTAAACTTATGTTGAAAATGCTTAGAGCATCTCCAGAAGCTCTCAAATCCAAAAAACCATTTTGGTTAGCAATCAAAATTCTCAAAACATCTGCATATTCACCAAAGACATGTGGCAATGTATGTGGGACATCAGTAAGATCAAGAATTGGGAGTTGATTATGGAACCCATGTCAATTTTCTCTCGGCAGAGCTCAACTTTCAAGTTTCCGAGCTGACAGCTAATTAAGCCCGAAACGTCAGCTTTCCTGCTCCTCTGATGCTGCTTGACCTGCTGTGTTCATCCAGCTCTACACCTTGTTATCTCAGATTCTCCAGCATCTGCAATTCCTACTATCTCTAAGTATAACCATAATTTGCTTTTAAAAAGTATAAAAGTCAACTCTCGCAGATTACCAAATAATTTTCAACTTGCTTTTCTAGGAAACACTAGAGTGTCAAGGCTGGTGCAGAGACCCAGACAGTAAATTTGACAGTTTTCAATTTCCCACGTCCCTTCCCTATTATTATTCAATCTCCATCTACACCCAGTGGCTGTAAGATCTATCTCCAAAATGCTAACTTTTGTTTAGTTTTTCCAGAAGTTTGAACTTGGACCCCATGCCCTGAATGCCAGTACCACACTTTTTATTCCTCCCAGTAGTGCTCCAACATTATAGATCCTTATTCAGCAAAGCTAACACCTAGCTTACTCCTAAACACTACCATTGTTCCACGTCTCTAAGAACTTTTGCCAGGACAACAGATACCCTCCTGTATTATTTCTATGCATCGTGATTTCCCTCTCAATTCTCTGATATTTCAAAGCTACTTCCAAGCACTCTTTAATTCAGGGACCACTTTCCAGAACCATCTCTGCTTTTTCATCCTAACTCGATCTTTGGCCTGGAGAAAAGCACTCACCCTTCAGCACACCTGTATAATTATGGAATGCTTGATGTTTCTTTTAATGACATTTCAAATGTTTTGTAACAAATTTACCTGCTGAGTTCCTCCGCACCAAATGTTTTTTTTTGCAGTGACAGGAATATTGAAAGCAGTGCTAAATGTGAAAGAATCATCAATTGTGGTTTTGCTTGACATTCTGCCATTCATTATTCATGTCTATTTTCTAGCAAAGATCAGTGAACACAGGAATGTCAGGTCCCTTGATTTCATATTTTCTAATCTTTCAACCACAATGTAAATTTATGAATACTTAAACTATATAGAACTTTATTTCTTCAAGTAAATAACTTGCTAGAGCAAACAAAAAAACATATAGAATGTTATTTTTAAAATGCACTGTAACTTACTCCATACTTCTACCTCTTGCAGCTACAAAGTCTTTTATTTTACATGTTAAAGATGAAGAGGAAAACAACTTTGTTTTTGAACAAATCAGAACATATAGCCACATTGTAGATGAGATTTGGTTGGGCATCACATTTGACATAATTGGTAAGTAATGATTAAACGTACTGAATGAGGTAAAGTCAAGGATAAAGTACTTTTATGCCTTGATTCAAAAAAGTTAACTATTTCATTATAAGTATCGATAAACGTTTATTGCATGTTCTACTTTAATATCCACTCAGAACAATGTGGTCAGAAATTGCTGGAGAAACTCAGGAAGTCTGGCAGCATCTGTGGAGAGAAAACAGAGTTAACTTTTCGAGTCCAGTGACCTGTTGAGTTTCTCCACCAATTTCTGTTTTTGCTTCAGATCTTTTAGCATCTATTGTTTGTTTTATTGCAATGAGATGTTAAATATGTAAATAAAATGTGCCTTTTACAGATTTCCGAGCTAATAATATAAGATTATTTATGTAGTGTGTTAGTCTTCTATTTATTTAATATGTATTTTCCAAGTAAAACAAAAATTTGCTCATTTGCTCTACACATGACTTATTCCCAAATTGTTGCTTCAAGTACAGATCTTCAGGTCGTCAAGGTCAGTGAAGTGTGAAGCCCCTGATTTTCAGTCCATTAAATTATTAGGAAGGAAATTAAGCACTGCAGGTCCACCATTTTCCAAGCATTTTGCAAGTGTTGATCTTCAGAAGGTCATTTAATTGAAGGATCAGCATGAACTTGGCTGAAATACATAATTCTCTTATTATGACATGCTCACATCCAGCTGAACTATCTTGAGTGCCTTGGGTAGATTCACTGCTCCCAGTCTTTTCTGTTGGTATCAGTCTACACTACTGACACCAAGTAGGAAAGCATGCCACATGACATCTTTGGCAGACATGGGCTCAGTCTTGACAAACAAAATCATTCTATTCGGTAAACAAAAAGCAAAGAACTGCAGATGCTGGAAATCTGAATCAAAAGCAAAAATTGCTGGAAAAACTCAGCACGTCTGGCAACATCTATAGAGAAAAGGCAGAGTCAATGTTCCGGATCCACAACTTGATGAACTTTCAGTTATCAAAAAGTGTGGTTGGAGCCAAATTTTAACTCTGCTTTCTCTTCACAGCTGCTGCTGGACATGCTGAGTTTTTCCAGAAATTTCTATATTTTTAATTTTTTTTATTCCATATTGCTTAATAACTAGTTAAATTAAATCTGAGTTACGTGAGAGTCCATAATAAGATCTTAGCCTGTACTTTAAACTAATTCACATTATTGTTACTGAAACATTTTGGTAACGTGCTGCTGAGACAGTAAAGTGATGGAAGGTGTCATCAACAGTGCTATCAAGCAGCCCCTGCTCAGCAATAACCTGCTCAGTGACGCCCAGTTTGGGTTCCACCAGGGCCATTCAGCTCCTGACATCATTACAGCCTTGGTTCAAACATAGACAAAAGAGCTGAATTCCAGAGGTGAGGCGAGAGTGGCAGCCCTTGACGTCAAGGCTGCACTTGACTGAATGTGGCATCAATATACACTAGCAAAACTAGAATTAATGGGTATCAGGGGGCAAACTCTCCTCTGGTTGGAGTCATACTTGACACATAGAAAGGTGGTCATGGTTGTTGGAGGTCAGTCATCTCAGCTCCAGGACACATCTGCAGGTGTTCCTCAGGGTAATGTCCTAGGTCCAACCATCTTTAGCTGCTTCATCAATGATCTTCCCTCCTTCATAAGGTCAGAAGTGGGGATGTGCACTACGATTGCACAATGTTCAGCACCATTCACGATTCCTCAGATACTGAAGCAATCCATGTTCAAATGTGTCAAGATCTGGACAATATCCAGGCTTGGGCTGACAAGTGGCAAGTAACATTCGTACCACACAAATGCCAGTCATTGACCATCACCAACAAGAGACAATCCAGACACTACCACTTGAAATTCCATTGTGTTCCATCACTGAATCCCACACTAACAATATTCATGGGGTTGCCATCCACCAGAAACTCAACTGGACTCCCACATAAATGCAGTGGCAACAAGAACAGGTCAAAGGCTAGGAAGACTGTGGTGAGTAACTCTCCACCTGACTCCCCAAAGCCTGTCCACCACATTCAAGGCACAAGTCAGGACTGTGATGGAATACTCCCCACTTGCCTGAATGGGTGCAGCTCCAACAACAAAATAAGCTTGAAACCATCCAGGACAAAACAGCCCCTTTGATTGGCACTACATCCCACAAGCATTCTCTCCCTTCACCACTGAGGCTCAATTGCAGCAGTGTGTACCATCTACAAGATGCACTGCAGAAATTCACCAAAAATCCTTACCAGCTTCCAAACCCACGACCACTTCGATCTAGGACAAGGGCAACAGACAACATGGGAACACCACTGCCTTCCAGTTCCGCTTCAAGCCACTCACCATCCTGACTTGGAAATTTATCGGTGTTCCTTCAGTGTTGCTGGGTTAAAATCCTGGAATTCTCTTCCTAATGGCATTGTGGGTCAATCCACAGAATGTGGACTGCATTGGTTCAAGGAAGCAGCTCACCACCATCTTAAACACAATAAATGTTGGGCAGCCAGTGATGCCCACATCTCACAAATGAATTTAAGAACAGACTAGTTGCCCTTCCACTTGCCAAGAACTGTTCTTTAGACCCTGATGAGTAGAGCTTTTCATATGATGTCAGTGAGCATAAAAGGAAATCCGAGAGTCTTTATAAGTACGTCAACGGTAAAAAGGTATTAGAAGGAGAAGTTGGGCTACTTAGAGACCAAAAAATGAGCCATTTACACACTGAGGCAAGAGACGTGGCGGAGGTATTAAATGAATACTTTGTATTTGTCTTTACATGCAAGTTGGATGCTGCCTAGGCCATGGGGATACAGGAGGAAAATGTGACAGTACAGGAAAGATATGAATGCCTGTGTTATACTTTTGCAGTCCAAAGATGTGCAGTTAAGTGGATTGGCCATGCTAAATTATCCTGTTCTGTCCAGAGATGTGTGGGCTAGGTGGATTAGCCATGGTAAATGTGGGGTTACGGGGATAGGGAAGGGGTGAATGGGTCTTAGTGAGATGCTTTTCAGAGGGTTGGTGCAGAGTTGATGGGCTGAATGACCTCTATCTGAACTGTAGGGATTTTATGATTCTAGGTTTGAGAATGGTTCTAGGGATCAGATACTTCAGTTATGAGGAAAGATTGGAGAAGTTTCTCTTGGCGAGGAGAAAATGAAGAGGTGATTTCCAAATTATGAGGGGTCTGGAGAAGGAGAAACAGTTCTCACTTGTAAATGAATCAAGAACCAGAGTGCACAGTTTGAAAGAATTGTGTAAAAGAAGCAAATACAAGCTGAGAGAAACCTTTTTCTCACAGCGAATACCTGAAAGTGTGGTTGGGGTAGATTCAATTGAAGCATTCCGGAATGTATTGGATAATTATTTAAAAAACAAACAATGTGCAGGGTTACAGGGAAAAGGGAAGAGACTGCCACCAAGTTAAAATACTTAGGGAGCCAGTACAGACGCAAAGTACTGAAAAGTCCTTTTGCACCATTGCGATTTCCATTTTCAGTTACTAACTGTCCTTTATAACAAATACGACCATGGACATCTGCAAGATTCCCGTCCTTTAACAGACGTTCAGAGGAATTTATATAACATCCTCTTCATATATGGTTTTCCAACCCCTTTTCGACATTGCTTCAGTTAAATTTCTTACGTCACACAATGCCAACTACAATTGCATGCTGATCGATAAGGGAAAACAAATCTTGAAAATAATCATGTAGAAAATTGTTTTAGATCCAACATCTTTAAATTTTTGTTTTATTTCCCAGAAACATTTCCCAACAACAGTTAATCACAGTTCTTTTGACAGCTAGATTACATTAATCGTGCCTGTACTTGCCAAACTCTTAGTGGATTACTTCTATGTATTTCACCTCAGGAAACAACAAATACATTTCAGATAATGCGTTGTATCAAACAACACTGGTGCCTGTTAATCATGAGCAGTGCTGATGTGATATCTTAACCAGCAATCATCACAGGATGTTGTCTACTTATCTGAATGATGGTGAGAAACAGTGTTGGTGTGTTGAACTGCTACATTTGTGCAACCAGTTTTGCTAGGATATTGCTTTGAATGTGCTTGATTACAGTTAACTTCATTCCATTACATTTCAGATAATGCAGTCAAGTGGCTTGATGGAACCCCAGTGACTTATTCAAATTGGGGTACAGAAGAGCCTGCAGCAAATAATTTTACTGTTGGTTTATGTGCTGCAATGAGATCCTCAGATGGTGCATGGTTTATGACTGACTGTGGTGAGCGTCTTGGAGCTGTCTGTCAAACAGGTATGCAGAAAAAATCTTCAAGGATCCATTTGAGATATTTAAACTAATGAAACACTTATTAATAAACATGACAGTAATTTAAAGTTACTAAGACTAACCAGATGCATCTTGATATGCAAAATAAATGAATGAGTTTTCACAGATGTGGAATCATATCCAATGAGAAACTGTGTCAGGTTCAGTCCCCACCTGTGCTAACCTTGGTGTTCTGTTTGTGGAATCAGCCAGAATTCCTGCTCCAGAATGCTCAGACTGGAGAATTCTGCTGAAGGCTTGTATAAAGACTGGATTTGATTGTCACTGTTAATCCAACCTTCATATTCTTTGTTGAGAAGCATACACAAATATTAACCACTTATTGAGTGTTATATCTTAGAGAGGAGCAGCATGGAGTTTGCTGCTGCTCCTGGGATTGCAGGCTTAATTAAAGATTTATTATAGTTTTTTTTAAACAGTTTTACAGTTATTATAGTCATTATAGTTTACTAATAAGATTTTTTTCCATTTTGTTTTATTAACATTCAAAAAAAACCAAAGAAAACAGTTATGATTTTTTTTCAAGTGGACTTTTTTTTCAAACGTTTTTTTCAAGGGTCTACAGTGAACAGCTAAGTTTTTTTTTACTTCTTAATTCAGAAATTTAAAAAGTTTATGTATTTTAAACATTTTTTTTAAAAAACCAAACAGCTTTTTTTTAAATAAGGAGTTGTGCTTTCATTCCAGAGAGTCAGCTCTGGAGAAGATTATTTTTTTCTTCGAGGAATTTATTGAAGAAGAATCGTTTTTATTAAGTTAATCAGCTAAGTGGTTGATTTTATTTAATTTTTATATGTTTGACATATATATTAATTTTCTTTTCTATTTAAACATTTTCTGTAGGTAATGAAAGGTAGTTTATTTTATGTATAAGGTGTTATTGAAACATTTATTTTTGTTAGGCTTACTGATATTAAGGCCATACATAAGGTACGGAGTGAGATGGTTAGTAGATTTAGAAAAGCTATTACCCAGCAGGATCAGTCAGATAGATGGGTGACTGTCAGGAAAGATAGGAAGGTAGTTCAAATGTCAGCGGTGGATATTCCTGTACCAAATAGATATTCAGTTTTCGGAACAGTTTAAGGGGATAGTCTCTATGAGGAAAATGGAGGGGCCAGTCAATTATTAGACACTTGGAATAATTCTTATGTTAGGCAGCGTTTGACAAGATTTAATGCAATTATTGGTTCACATGGATTGACATACCACTGGCAAGAGAAACACTAGCAACGCTGACAGAAGAACGAGACGCGAGTGACACCATCTCCACAGACAACATGCTGAAACCACTGGACCTATGCCTCACGACCCACTTTATCTTTAATGGCCAAATCTATGAACAGATCAATGGGACACCAATTGGGTCAGCTATCTCCGGACTAATAGCAGAATTGGTGACGCAGAGACTCGAAAACATGGCCCTTCCGCAAATCCAACCCAAACCATGGATCCGATACTTGGACGACACTTTCATCATCATCAAACGGACCAAACTAGAGGAGACACACCAACTAATAAACAACACTGTCACTGGCATCAAATTCACCAGGGAGGAGGAAAAGAACACACAGCTCCCATTCCTGGATGTCATGATAGAACGCAGGACCAATGGGGAATCCCTGACAAAGGTACACAGAAAAGCCACACGCACTGACCTAGTACTGAATTTCAACAGTAACCACCCAACACCCACAAACAAAGTTGCGTGAAAACACTGTTTAAACGAACGACAACATACTGTAGTAACCCAGAACTATGCCAAAAAGAAGAGTACTTCCACCAAGTATTTAAGGACAACGGATACCTGAACAACTGGATCCAACTATGCCTATCACATGAATAACAACAGGAAGATACCGCACACCCTAACATAGTCATCACGCTACCATACATCAAGAACATATCCGAACTGACCACAAGACACCTACAACCATTGGGCATCAGAGGAGCACACAAACCCACGTCAACCCTACACCAACTGCTAACTTGAAATAAAGACTCCTTACCCATTCTGGACAGAACCAATGTAATATATAAAATCCCATGCAAGGACTGTGACAAACATTATATTGGACAGACAGGAAGAAAATTGGCCACAAGAGTACATGAACACCAACTAGCAACAAAAAGACACGATCAATACTCACTCATCTCCATTCACATGGATAAGGAGAACCATTTGATTGGGACAACACCAGGATCCTAGGACAGGCCAAACAGAGAGAAGCATGGGAATCCCTAGAGGCCTGGTTCTCCACCAAGAAGGCCATCAACAAACACTTAGAATTAGACCCTATATATACACCAAATGGGGTAATCAAATCCAACGGACCCCAGAGTTTAAATACCAGGTGGGAAAACACAATGGCGCTTCATCGGAGGCTGCACTGATGATGTTAACCAGCAGGATAATGAAACGTCAGCGGACTAACAGACCAGCTCGGCAAGCAAACCAACCACAGCATCCACAACCCGAGCTACAAATCTGCTCAAAAACCTTAGACTTTTATTGTTATAGGGGCATAGACAGGTGATTCTGTGGCAGTGAGTATAAATTTAGGATGGCTTATTGCTTTCCTGGTGCTAGGATTAAGGACATTCCTAAACGTTTCAAGCGTATTGTTAAAGGTGAGATTGAGAAGCCAGAAATTATTGTACACATTGGTAGGAATGTCATTTTAGGGAAAAGATTAAAGCAGTACAGAGTGAATTTGTGGGGTTAAGTAGAAGATTTATTTCAATGCAAGGGTTCTTACAGGTAAGGCTGATGAATTCGGGGCATATTTGAGAACATGGGATTGGGACGTCATAGCTATTACAGAAACTTGGCTGAGAGATGGAAAAGACTGGCAGCTCAATGTTCCCAGTTTTATATACAATAGAAAGGATAGAAGAGGAGAAAAGAAAGGACGGGAGTGTGGCATTTTTGATTAAGGAATACATTACTCCTCGGGAAGATATTTCTGAAAAATAGTCCAGTGAAAATATATGGGTAAAAATTATAATAAGGAAGGAAAGATCACTTTGATGGGATTGTACTCTAGGCCCCCCAGTAGTAAGAGAGAAATTGAGAAACAAATATGTAGGGAGATCTCGGATATATGTAAGCTAATAAGGTTATAATAATGGGGGATTTTAATTTTCCAAACATTGACTAAAGAATTTGTCAAATGTGCTGAAGAAAATTTTCTTCATCAATATGTAGATACTCCTACTAGAAAAGGAACAAAACTAGACTTTCTTTTGGGTAATAAGGCAGGGCAGGTGATGGAAGTAAAAGCGGGGGAACACTTTGGGTCTAGCGATCATAATTCTATTATTTTCAAATTGGTTATGGAAAAGGATAAGCCTTCCATAAATGTTAAAATTTTTAATTGGAGTAAGGCAAATTTTAATGGTATGAGACAAGAACATTCAAAAGTTGAATGGAATAGACTGTTCACAGGTAAAAGGACATCTGACAAGTGGGAGGTGTTCATGAGTTTGATGATAAGAGTTCAGCGGCATTTTGTTCCTGTTAGAGTGGAGGGTAAGGCTGGTAAGATTAAGGAACAATGGATGAATAAAGATATTGAGGTTCTAGTCAATAATAAAAGAGAAAATTGTATTAGATGTAGCCAACTTGGTTCAATTGAATCTCTTAGTCAATATAAAGACTATAGGGGCGTTCTTAAGAGAGAAATCAGGAAGGCAAACGGGGAATATAAGATAGCATTGACAAATAAGGTTAAGGGTAATCCAAAGAGATTCTACAAATACATTAAGAGCAAGAGGGTAACTAGAGAGGGGGTAGGGGCTCTTAAAGATCAAGGAGGTTGTCTTTATGTTGAACCCCAGGAGATGGGAGAGATACTAAATGAACATTTTGCATCAGTTTTTACTGTAGAAAAAGAAATGGAGTCTAGAGAATGCAGAGAAATAAACTTTGATGTTTTAAAAACAGTTCACGTTACAGAAAAGTAAGTTCAGGATGTCTTAGAGAATATAAAGGTGAATAAATCTCTGGGATCTGATCTAATGTATCACAGAATGTTGTGGGAAGTAAGGGAGGAAGTTACGAGACCCCTTGCAGAAATATTTGGATCATCCGTAACTATGAGTGAGGTGCCTCATGACTGGAGGGTGGCTAATGTTGTACTTTGTTTTAAGAAAGGTTGTAAGGAGAAACCAGAGAACTATAGACCTGCGAGTCTTACTTCAATTGTGGGTAAATTGTTGGAGTTGATTATAAAAGATAGGATTTATGGACATTTAGAGAGGGAAAAATTGATTAGGGATAGTCAGCATGGTTTTGTGCCAGGAAAATCAAATCTCACAAACTTGATTGACTTTCTTGAGGAAGTTACCAAAAAGATTGATGATGGCAGAGCAGTAGACATTGTTTGCTGGGATTTTAATAAAGCCTTTGACAAGATTCCATGCGGTAGACTAATTAGTAAAGTTAGGCCACATGGGATTCAGGGTGAGCTTGCCAATTGGATACATAATTGACCTAACTGCAGGAGACAGAGAGTAATGGTAGAAGGCTGGTTTTCGGACTGGAGGCCTGTGACCAGCGGTGTTCCACAGAGATTGTTCTGGGTTCTCTTCTGTTTGTCATTTATATAAATGATTTAGATGATTAATATAGAAGGCATGGTTAGTAAGTTTGCAGATGTCACCAAGATTGGTGGCATTGTAGACAATGAAGAAGGCTTTCTAAGATTACAAAGGGATCTTGATCAAATGGGTCAATGGGCTGAAAAATGGCAGATGGAGTTCAATCTGGATAAATGTGAGGTATTGCATTTTGGTACAACAAACAAAGGTGGGGCTTATACAATTAATGGTAGGGCCTTGTGTAGTGTTGTGGAACAGAGGGACCTAGGGGTACTGGTACATAATTCTTAAAGTTTACGTCACATTCAGACTTTATGGTTAAAAAGGTATTTGGCATGTTTGTCTTCATGGGTCAGTCCTCT